CTGATGCACCAGAGTTTAATACATTTCCCACTGCTTAATTACATTTGGGGTTTTCCCTTTTATAATAAAACCATGGTCTGTAAAAGTCTATATAAAAATATGAAGCGCGGTCAGCCGTCAGTCTTGTACAGGACTCCCTTTTACGGGCACTGAGTGTCACCCACTGCAAACTTTCCAGATCACACTGATATCATCCTGCTTCGCTAGAGTCCCATCTCAAGTCCCACTACCTATATTTTAATCTCATCACTATTAAAATCTGGGAAGGCCCACGTAAAATGTCAGTGCAATTGCTGGCGACCAAGATCACACTATTGAAAAGCAGATTCCAATCCCAATGGTACAGTGGTAACAAAAAAAAACCACATGAAACATCAAGTTCATTAGTTAAAGTCACTAAGTCATCAACTTCATCATCTAGGATTTTTCATCACCTGATTTATTCATTGTTTCCCATTAGGGGAAATGCCCCTTCCCTGTTTTGCTTGTTTATGACAGGGATTCACTGCCTCTGAGCATCTCCAAGAGGCTAATGCAAGGAAAAGCAGAAAAGCACTGGTCCGGGAGCCGGGAATGCCAAATCTAGTCCCCGGGTCCGGGAGCCGGGAATGCCAAATCTAGTCCCCGGGCTGCCTTTCTGTGGGCTTGCGAGCAAGTCCAATCACCTCCGTTTTCTCATGTGTGTGCCAGGAGGATTAGACTGTATGATTTCCAAAGTCACCTTCAGCTCTGTGATTGAGATGCTGAGAAATAAAATCTTTTCACTTTATATCATATTTTTTTGGTTACTGTAGTTGTTTTTATCATCATTGATAATACTACTTAGCCTCCATGTATACAAATATAAAAATACAAGGAAAGGAGAATTATGGAAATAGTAGCATTATCAAAATGGTTATCAGTTATATATGAATCTGAATCTATAACAAACATTTTAATGATACAGTAGACTGGGTGTTGGAATAAGTGAGTGACTTAATGCATAAATAAATGCCATTAAAAAGCAAGAAGCTTGTGCAATAAATTAGAACTTCTATAAAATCAAAACCAAGGTCAAGGTGAAATCAAGTTCAAAAGCTTCACCAGAATCAGTTCTGGTTTTTAGGACACAGTGAGAGCAAGAGAGACAGGTACACCAACTGGAAAAAGTGCTAGAGATGAGATTTTGAAGGAAAGGCATAAGAAAGAAAACTTTGAAACATAGAAATGAATCAGTGAAACTGCCAGTCTTTCCACTTCTGTCTGGCTTGGGGAGGTGGTTTTAAAAAGTGTTCTGTTTAAAAAAAAAAAATTCTTTTTTCATGTGTAAAAGCTTTTTTTTTTACTGAATTTATTGGGGTGACACTGGTTAAGAAAATGATACAGGTTCCAGGTGCATAATTCCACAACACATCATCTGAATATACATATCGTGTGTCCACTACCCCAAGTCAAGTCTCCTTCCATCACCATTTATCTCCTGCATACCCTCCTCTGCCTTCCCCCTCCCCTCGACAATCCCCACACTGTTGTCTGTCCATGAAAATTTTTGAAACTTTGTGCTTTCGGTTGGATAAAACATCCTGAAAAAGGTATATGTATTATATGCATATGTATATAATACAGATAAATAAAAAGCATGGCCTGGAGACTCTGGATGGCCACCTAATAAAGAACCCCTGCCAAGTGGTTCCGAGCCTATGGTTTCTCAATGTATGGACTATCTGGTTGGTACATGGCAGCCAGGGGCCACTAATAAATGGCTGCACACGCTAAGCATCATTTCCCCCCCGGGAAGGCCTCATGATGACATCTGACAAATATTACTAACCAGCTTTTCACAGCAGTGTTTATAGAGACAAGTAGCAGGAGAACAAATGTCATCAGGTCTTAGGAATTCTCAGCGGTAAATAACAAATGCATCATCTACTGCGCACTCACCACGTCAGGCACTGCCCTAAGCACTATCTAACTCCTCAGATCTTCCCAGCATTCCTTCGAAACACTCTTATCACCATTTTATAGATGAGGGCATCAAGGTCAGAAAGGCTGAGTAACTCACCCAAGGTAAAAAAGCTGGTTAAGGAAGACTCAGGCGCTCCGGATCCCGAGTCCACATTCTTAACCACTAGAATGTACCTATGTTTCTCAGTGATAATTATAATTCACACCCAATAGACATAAAAGAAGCTACTCAGGGCAGTGAATCCTCTATTCACAAGGCCAACTGCAATTTGGTTTCAGCAAAATATTATATCAATACATTTTATTTTGAATGTTAGTGTTTTGTACTTTTTTTTTTACATTTAATTTGTAAATTTTTGATTTTATATTAAAAGCACAAGGTATGCCTGGCTTCGCGTTGCAGGCTCGATCCCCAGTTGGGGCGCGCAGGAGGCAGCTGATCAATGACAAATCTTTTATCATTGATGTTTCTCTCTCTCCCCCTCCCTTTCCCTTCCTCTCTGAAATCCATATATATTAAAAAAAAAAAAAAAAATACTGGGAAGAGTTAATAAAAAAAAAAAGCACAAGGTATTTCTCCCTAATTTTAAGTTACATTTAAGTAATTTAATATAAGTAGCTGAAGTGAACTCTGAAGTGTTGGTGAGAATCTTTATGCTTAAAAGATACACTCCAAGAAATATGGTCTCTGTGGATGGAAAGACTAACTTCCAGCCCAGCTCTAGGAAGGCTGAATTTGTGTTTGTGCATCTGCGTGTTTTGTGTGTGCTGGTTCCTCACACCACTGTCCAGTGTTGGTCTGTACATTTGAGTTCCCTTGAGTTCCTCCTAATAACCACATAGGGTGGACAGTCACTGGCTCAATGACCTTAAGCTGGAATTTTCCAATCACAAGACTCATGAAAGATAAAGGCAAGACCCATGACAAAGAGAAGGCTGGCTGGTCTGTGGGAGGAGGGAGAGGCAACAAAGGACCGAGCCACGCGAATGAGCCTACGTCACGCCACAGGCCCAGCCATGCTGGGGCAGGGCCGGCTCCTTTCCAACTGTTCCATCTAAATCCTTCCGTTTGACATTTGGAAATTCTATCTACTGTGCTCAGTGCTCAGAAGCTGTTTCTGGTGCCTACCAGACATTCTTATGTGTGCAACTCACAGGCATCTGATCTGATCCTCAAACAGCCCTATGAAGGGATCTCCATTTTAAAGATGAAAACACAGAACCTCTAAAAGAGCCAGCAATTTGCCTGACATTATTGGACTTGGAAGTGGTAGAATAGGGCTTGAAACTAGATCTGCTCTGAGCCAGTCCACACCACCACCCAAAACTGGCGTTACTCCCACACCCAGGTGGGAGCCCTGTAAAGGCTTGAACCAAAGGTGGGAGGTGGGAGGTGGGGGGAACAGCAGGAGTGTAAAAGAAGGTCCTAAACATGGGCTGATGGAACATGGATCCAACTGAAGGAAATGCTTAATAAAAGGTCACCATTTTTAACTATTAGATGAGCAAACATCCAAAAGTTTGATAATACAGTACCTTTGTTGACGAGGCTGAGGGGACACAGGCACATTCCCGATGGAGTGTAAATAGGCAATGTCTGTGAAAATTACAAATTAATCTATCCTTTGGCTCGGTAATTTTGCTTGATCAGAGATAACTGTGTAGAACTACAAGATCACTCAAGCAAGTTTACCTAAAAAACACTGAACTCTGATGTGCATTAAATACAGGGCTGATTAAATAAACTAAGGTACGTTCATACAGTGGAAAAATATGCCACGGGAAAAAGAAAAAGAAGCTCTGATATGAAAAGCTCTCCTCCAAAACAAGGTGTAGAATAGTGTATTTATACTAACTTTTGTGGAAAGAGGTGGGGGAATAAGAAATACATGTTTTAATTCTGCATATGCATATTTGTTATAGGTGCATTTGGAACCATTGGAAGAATATCCAAGAAAATAATTATGGTTATATAGGGCTGGGAAAGACTTTTAGATTTTTTTTTAACCGTAAAGATAGATTATCTCCTCAAGAATTAATGTTTAAAAGCCTGAAAGAAGATGGCTCTGCGCAGGCTCCCTTCTCTAGGCTCCTCCTCCACACCCGGGCTTTGCCCCGTTTGCCTCCCGCCTCCCGCAGGCATCGCTCAGGCTGCATCCTACAGACCTGTGGGGTCACAGGGGACCCTCCATTCGCATCATGCGCTTGTGTTTTCTGGAAGATGTAAATACAGCTCTGAACTATTAGTTTTGTTCTCTCCAGGTAAAGACGACAGTATTTTACAGAGTCCCAGAGAGAAAAGTTTAATATATATCCAATAATTATATATGTATATTTAATTTTGGTTTAAGTTTTTCTTCAGTTTATTTAATGCCCTTAAAAAAAAAAAAAAAAAAAAAGGAGAACAAAAAATTTGGGTAATTTGCACCGCTTGACTTTTAAAACATTTATTTATTTTTTACTTTTTATTTTTAGAGAGAGGGAGAAAGAAACATCAATTTGTTGTTCCACTTATTTATGCATTCATTGGGTGATTCTTGTATGTGCCCTGACTGGGGATCAAACCTGCAAGCCTTGGTATACAGGGACAATACTCTAACCAACTGACCTACCCAGCCAGGTTACACTGCTTGATTTTTTAAAAAGTTTTATATGTTAATGACACAATATTCTTTCTTAACTGGAAGGTAGAAAGTAAAAACCAAGCAAAATAATAAAACATGAATTTTGGTCACTTAGAAAATTACAGTGAATAAATACTACCTAAAAGGAAATTTCAAAATCCCCAACCATTGAAAATACATATACTTCTTGGCTTACAGGGTCCATTCTGCAATGATAAGTTAGTGCAACCAACCAGTTAAGATTAAAAACTCGCCAAAAGCTGAATTTAGTGGCTGTCAGTTAAACTGCCAAATGGTGATGTGAATTTAATAAATTACACATGGAATCACAAATTTGAACTGAATTTACATTGAGGCTTAGCAGTGGTAAGATATGTACAAATAGAAGAGCTTATCACTTCAGATTATTTCAGGGCAAGGAAAACACAAAACTTTTTTTTGCAATACAGTTTAAGTCCTCAGATATAAATTCTATCATAATAAGAACATCTAAACCACAAAAACATACAGACATCACGGCCTGCACTTCTGCATTTTTCTCTTTGCAGTGGTAGCCACACCGTATTAGTCCAGACTCACGAGTGCAACCCCTTTACACATACCAGGCGCTCCGGGCATTTGCCATACAAAGCGTGAGCAGAGAATCTGCAGAGCAGCCCGACCACAAGCAATGCATTTAGTTAGAGGCTTTTCTACAAAGAGGACTTTACATAGATCCCAAAGAATTAAAAAGATCCTTGCTTCTACTTTAGGAGGTTCAACTATCCACTCTGAAACATGAGTGAAAACAATTCGGTTTTAGGGAAAAGTGCCTACTGTAAGCCAGGGTAAAAAATTCCCCTCAAAAGACAAGCCTGACTACCAAAATGATCTCCCCCATCTTTCCCTAATTCATAGAAATGGAGTATGTGTGACGTGACTTTTCTTTCAAGCTGAAAAATATTTAAACGGACACATTTAAAATGGTCCACAGAAAATCTTACCATTACCTTTTCTAATTTAAAGTCTACAAATGACAAACAAATATGTATAGAATAGGAAAACTTAGCAGGTGGCTGAAGACGGTTTGGGATGCGATCAGCTAGCACATGGTCACAGGCGGCAGACTGCAGTAGCCACCTGAGTCACAATCAGTCAAGCTCACTGACGACATATCCCCACCTAAAGCAGCAGCTCTTCCTCTGGGGGGGATGACACGTGAGGACAGTGGTGTGCGCATCACTTTCTGGAATTCCAAGTAAGAAAACAGTGTGCACACAGATTTGTGCCACTTGATCCCGACAGTCAAAGTGAATTTGGCATTTCTTCCCCAAAGTTAAAGAAAAGAAAGTCCAGAGAAAAACGATTTTCTACAAATTATTCTATACTTCAGGTTTCTTTTCGTGCAAAAAATTTTTGGTATACTGAATAATAATTACCCTTTGATCAAGAGATTTAGTTAGAAGCTATCATACCAGTACAAAAATACCCACACTAGATTATTAAAATTGTTAAGACTACTTTTAAATTCATAAAAATGGTACTGCACTCGGTGACTATAGTTTTAGTTTTGGGGTACCCCATGCTACACAGAATCAGGGAAAGGAACATTCCTGGAGGGGACCGTGTTCCTAATTTGTTGTTTAAAAATGGTCAAGGGATGCTGCATGTTGGGCGCTAATCCTTTAAAGTGCTGTTCAGAGTATCAGCCTCTACTCTAGACTGCCACGTCCACAGCGCAGGCTCGGTGAACACACTGTGGCTCAGGCCCTGCTCACCTCACCTACCCCACTAGCAGCAATGCACCAGCAGGAGGGGCGCCGTCTCCATGACCGGCACCCACAAGGGCCGCTGCCTCCCACCACAACCAGAGGCCTCACAGCGCACAGTCGAAGGTCTGGGGCTCACTCAGTGCTGCAGTTGGAGGTTCAGGGCGCCTTGTCTGCGTAATTTTCTGTTTGGGGTTTTTTGTTTCTTCTACCTCTTCGGTTTCACTTTCACAGACGTGAACCACCACGCTGGGTGTCGACTCAGTTCCTGCATGAAGTTCATATTTCTCTCCTGTGGAGGAAACAGCAAAAAGAAGTGTTTTGTCTCTTAAAATGTCTTGTTCTCCTCACATTTTAATTGCTGATTACTTGTTTTTAAATCTTTAAATCCTATGTCAGAGTACTTTATCTTGCTTTGGCATTAGAGCTTTGATACTTTAAGGCTTTATGAAGTTTTGCCGTTTCAATGCCCAGGCTGGTGTGGCTCAGTTGGTTGGGTGTCGGCCCATGCACCTAAAGGTTGCCGGTTCAATTCCTGGACTGGGTGCATGCCCAGGTTGTGGGCTTGATCCCCAGTAGGAGGCGTGCAGGAGGCAGCCAACTGATGTTGCGAGCTCTCTCTCACCCTCTTTTTTCCTCTCTCTAAAAATCAAATTTTAAAATTACTTTTTTTAAAAAAGAAATAAGCTGGTAAGGAACACTGAGGTCTGGGAGTTAAAACGCTAATTACTATTCTATGAACAGAAGTGAATCTCAACTTCAGGATGGTTTTGGTTTTCCCTTAGGAGACACGTGTAATGTTCTGGGCAGCATGGGCAATCTCTATTATAGGACCTCAGACAGGCAAGACCCAGCTCCAATATCTAAAACAAAACAAAGCCATTTCCCCTCACAATGACTTGTCTCTCCTGTGACACACATAACACTGTCTTAGGCGGACAACTAGTCTGAACCAGCAATGAATGGCATTGATTTCTTATACGATTTTAAAGGGATGAGAGAAAGAAGAAGAAAAATAAATAAAGAGAAGAATTTGGAAGGATGATATAGTATCACCATTAATTCCTTGAAATACTTTTCACTGGAGAAGCTGATGCTTGGACGGAGCTGGAAGAAGGCAACTAATCATCACCAATGGCCCGTTATGTACCAGTAGAATGTGTAGCAGTAAAAACTGCAATAAGAGCCCGGCCGGCGTGGCTCAGTGGTTGAGCATCGACCTAGGATCCAGGAGATTGAGGTTCGATTCCCGGTCAGGGCACATGCCCAGGTTGTGGGCTCGATCCCCAGCACGGGGCGTGCAGGAGGCAGCCGATCAATGACTCTCATTGATGTTTCTCTCTCTCCCTCTCCCTTCTTCTCTCTGAAATCAATAAAAATATATTTAAAAAAACAACTGCAGTAAGATTTATTATTATGCATATATCATTTAACCCTATAACCACGCTGAAAGGTAGCTATCCTGATCCCTATGTTATAGATGAGAAAAACAGGCTGAGAAGATTGGGAGCTAAATAACTTGCTCAAGATCAGGAAATTAGCGAATGCTAGTGAGCCCAGGCCTGTGTGGCTATGTCCTCTGCTCTGGTCATGTTGCCACTAGTGGGCTAGAATGCAAATTGCTGACGGTGGTCTTTCATACAAAAGTTCCTTTGGAAGAAACCGGGAAAGATGGATGTTAGTTACCTGGTCCCAACTTGGAAACAGCGCAGAGTAAGTCGTAATTTAAAAGAGGCATCGCGTCTTCACCCTGCTTCCACCCCACTGGGGGAGACGCTGGCGGGGAGATTAGGAACTGCTTGACCGGCTGGGGCGGCAGCAGGTACGACTTGTGCCGCGTCTCACTGGACACCTGCACCTGCAGGGAAGGAGATACTCAACGTTTGCGACTGGCCTACTTCTTCATTTTCATCTCTGTATTGATTATTACATCTCTTTGGAAAAAATGAAAAATTTCTCTTTAACAGTCTGCATCTCCCAGCGGCTGTGTTTGTGTCTGTGTGGTTCGCCACTGAACACTAGGTGCTCAATAAATAACAGTCGAATAAAAAAGTAAACTGCTGAATAGACGAATGAATCATGAATGGCAGTAAGCCCTAACTTCCAATTTTAGAGAAGTTTGGGGTATATCGTTTCCATCTCAATTGACTCCACCAAGAAATGTCCAGACATCTTTCATTTAGGTTTTTTGTTTGGAATGTGCAATAACCAACTTCTTTTTTTTANAAATGTCCAGACATCTTTCATTTAGGTTTTTTGTTTGGAATGTGCAATAACCAACTTCTCTTTTTTTTTTNTCATGAATGGCAGTAAGCCCTAACTTCCAATTTTAGAGAAGTTTGGGGTATATCGTTTCCATCTCAATTGACTCCACCAAGAAATGTCCAGACATCTTTCATTTAGGTTTTTTGTTTGGAATGTGCAATAACCAACTTCTTTTTTTTAAAATTTGAAAGCTAAGACCAAGAAAAAAAACTGTTGAAAAGAAAACAGTGCAGTTAATACATCAGCAGAGATCTAATGCCTTTATTTCACCAATTCTCCTGAGGAGAAACTGGTTGCTCGGAGCCACATCACCGAACAGAGAAAGTACAGCCATTTCTCGGGAACCTACAAGATGCTCTGCCATTTCGAAGTCTAAGCCAGCCTGTGGCACTGTCTGTGCCACCTCCCTGGTCACCTCAGGCCAGCAGCCGCTTTCAATGGGGTGACTCATACAAGTTACAGAACACAGAAACGATTTCAGAATTTTCTCAAGTCTCCCAAGGACGTTACATCGAGAGTGCCATCCTAGATGTTAGGAAGAAAGTTAATTCACTAATCTTCAGCTGTCAGGGTTTAACCCTTATGAAACCCCGGTTGAGAAAAGCTGCCAGAAAAATGAATCCCTTTAACTATTAGTCTAAGCAAAACCAAGTCAGGAGGGTAAATACGCTTAATACATAAACGTATATATCTGTAAAATAAAGGAAACTGTTTTTACATGATTTGCTGATCGGGACTGTTCATTTCCAAGCCTCCGATGGAATACAGAGAATGGAGAACTGCTAATATTTCTGATGGAGAGCGAGCTTACACAGCGTCCTTGGCCCTATGACGTACCTGCGCAAAATACAGCTTCAGCTTCTTCCCGTGGAAGTCTGTTTCATGGAGTTCTATGCGCGCTCTTGCCGCTGCTTCGGGCTTGCTGAAATTTATTCGGACCCTTCTAAAGCTTTTAAACAGCTGAAACGTAACCTGCTCGTCATAGGCGGTGAAAAGCGCTTCAAATCTCTCCTACAAATCAAGGATCGGCAGGGCAGAGGGGATGCAAGAGAAAAAAGAGAAGCCTTTAACAGAAGGAAATTTAAATCATCAGATATAAGCAATGGGACAGAGCTCATTAGAATTTGCCTTTCCCTCCCACCAAAAAGCATACTTTTTTTGCAGGTATACAAGAACAGGTACCCTGCTAAATTCTGCAATTTGCACTTATTTTAATAAGAAATTAACTTGATTAAATATTTTATAGATTCAAATTATAAAATAAATGTAAAATAAATGTAAGGTATAAAAAATGAGCCCAGCCGTGTGTGGCTCAGTGGCTGAGCATCAACCTAGGATCCAGGCGATCGGGGTTCGATTCCCGGTCAGGACACATGCCTGGGTTACAGGTTTGATCCCCAGTCGGGGGCGTGCAGGAGGCAGCTGATCAATGACTCATCATTGATGATTCTATCTCTCCCTCTCCCTCTCTCTCTCTGAAATCAATAAAGACATTTTTAAAAAATGACACAAACATGTCCAATTATACAACAGGAACATTCCCTACTGCTTCGAAGTCCCCAGCGTGCCAGCTCTTTATTCCCCCATCTCACTCCTTTCCTCCAAGCAAGCCTTTCTGGAACTCTGTGCTTACCATTCCCTTGCTTTTCTTCATGGCTTTACTTTTATTTGAAAGCCTAAAGGTACAGTCACGTTGTACATAGTTTTCAATAACTTGCGCTTCTTTAGGTTTTGTTTCTAAGTTCTCCCTTGTTGCTGTGTGCAGCTGTAAGTCACACTTTTTCGCCGCCTCGTGGTATCCCACTACAGCGCCGTACCATGATTTACCTGACGCTGCTGCAATTAAGCAACCAGCTGCACGTCAGACCTTGTACTAAGGCTGGATTTCCAATGTACTACGAGGGGAGGGGAGAGGAGCTGTAAGATCACTCCTATTCTTATTAACCATATTATTTCAACATATTAAAGTTATATGGACAAGTAACGTTATAGAGATAGTAAGGATTTTAAAATAGCATGCGAGTTCTTCAAAGAAATATAAACATGTAAATCTATTAAATACTAATAATTACTAATACTTCCAGGCACTTTTCATAGTTTCCTCAGCATCTATTTCAAAGCTGGCTGGCTTTATCACTGCTTTTAAAAAATGAGAATTGAGATTTTGTGAAGTTCCATCTAATTCCTGGTAGATGCTTACTTTCAACATACGCTGAATACTAAGTAAGTATTAAAATTCTCACAGGAGCTGGTTAAGAAACACGAGCCCTGAACACAATGAAAGTGGAAACTAAGGAAGAACTAATTAAGCATGGTTTATGAAATATTAGTGTTTTATAACTCTGTACGTAAAACAATTTTCCTTTGCCAGGCTAAAAGGACCACGTATTCATTCCTAATTCCCCACAACAATGAATTTTTCATAGTAACAGCAGCACAAGCTATCTTGCAAACTAAACAGCTACCTGACATTCACACCCTTCTTCCTTTTTCCTTCCAAAAACTTTTTTTTTTTTTACCATTCCAGAAATACACTGTCACTGAATGTAAGATGCAGATGACAGCAGTGGGTTTGTGGGTCTCTCGTCTAAATTCCAATACCTGCGAGCATTATTTAAAAGCGAAGTTGTGCAAGAGTTGATACGCTTTTTACATTTTGTTAGTTCTTTCCTCTCCTTCACATCCCATTTTCCCTTGGTGTAGCATAAATATGGTTCATGAAATGTGAGGTGCTGTAGAAAACATGAGAAATTAATGTGGAGGCAAAACCATCACGGTTTCCTATCTCAGGAAAAAGATAAAGGCCCTTAGCTGGTAGCTCTGCCCTCCCATCAATCTACAGACATCAACTGCAGATTCCTGAGGCTGTCCCTGGCCACCTGGCAACAGCACAGGAAAGGACACAATACAGAAACACGGGCTGAAGACCACTCTTGACAAATAACTCGCGGCCAACATAATTCAATTCAGAAGCCAAATTATTATCGTTTTTCTTGAGTTATTTTAGAAACGATTCACATTTGTAAGTTTCTGAATTCTCTAGTGATAAAAAAAATTAATACCATCCTGTAAAAGGGTGATGGTTGCCCATTTACTTCTGATAAGGTAAGGGAGATCCCATAAAATCTAAACCGTCATTGAGCACTCTGCTTTCTCAGTGTACTTAGTATAATTCAGCCTAAAAACCAATCCCTGAGGCTTTTCCACAAAATATAAACCAGAAGCTGCCTCCATATGCTGAAGTCACCTGTGTAATAAATCAGCAGCAAACATGATTACAAATAACTTGCACCTAAAGTATGCAAGGACAACATATAACCCACAGCTTTCTTGTGGGGATTCAAGAAGAGCACTTCATAGCCGGACAAGAGGCATATTAACATCACTGAAGGAGAAAGCGGAAAAGGTCCCACAGGAAGGTAGGTTTCCAGGAGTACCAGGGGAGGACGGCAGCTAAGGGACCTTTCGGGAACTACTCTGTTCCCTGGCCCAGAGCAGAGAAGGTGAGGCTCATTGATTTCACTGAGGAACAAACTATGAAAACAATTTTGCTGCACTTTTTTGCCTTAGACTAAAAACCCCAAGGTGCCCACTGACTCCGGCCCATTAAGGGACACAATTTCACTGTGGAGATGGAGCATACGATTCTTCAGTGCCCTGAGCAGTGAAATAAATTATCTTTGGCATCCTAAGGCAAGAGGTTTTTCATTTCTACGTCTCTCTGTGGATCTGAGATAGAAAATTCCATCACTCCAGCATCCAGAGGCTGCAGGTTCCTCGGTGTCAGAGGCAGTCTCCATTTCTGCCTGGGCACAGGCGATACTGATGGTCCTCCTAGGTATCATTGGGGACTAAATAGCCAAAGGCAGACGTCTTGGTCAGAAAAGAGCACATACTCCTAGGCATGGTGAATTACAAAACATGACTTTAATCATCTGAGCACTTGTAATAGTTCTGGGACTAAATCCAGAAGTGCTAGAGGGTGGCAGAACACACACAAAATTTTAAATCCTACTATAACCTTTGGCCTATTGCATTTATATTGCCTTCAATACCTTTCCAGATCATAAAGAAGCATGAAACTGAATTAAAATTTAAAAAATATTAAATACTACCTATTCAATATTGATTTTTTCCCGTTTTAATGGCTACCATTAAATACATACCCTGTCTCATGGAACATGAATTCTTGAAGGGCTATGATTATCCCGTCAGACCTGAACTATTCCCTATACCATCTACAAGCAGGTGGTCAAACCAATGATAAATCATTTCTGATGGTAACAGACTACAGATTGGTATTAGGGTGGGAAAAAAATATTCCTAACCGGAGCACTGATTACATGAGCAGATACTGTCAAAATGCACCAGATTGCATACGTAAGAGACGTACATTTCACTGGTGAGTTTTGCCAAATTATTAAAAAAAAAAAAGTAAGGGAAAATAAGAGAAGGGGTGGGATGAGGTGGCTATGCTGGCTGCAAAGGCAGGGGGAGCACCGGGGCCTCACAACTGCTGAGTGCAGCCTGTGGAGGCCAGAGCCCCACACTTGGCAACCACAGATCCGGCTGGGAGCACAGTAAGGTGACTTCAGTCAGCTACTATTTTCCATCTTCAATTAGGACAACACGTTGCAAGTAGCAACTGCTTGTAGGATAATAACTGCTAGTAGTAATTCTGGTTATACAAACGTCTCCCTTTTTTCCTGTGGCTAAACTGGGAAAGGTCTATGACGCTTGGACAGAAGATGTGTGCACAATGCAGAAGTCATTTTCAAGCAGTTTGGTGGCCAACTGCTAGCCTCAAAACCCAGCCTGCCACATAAGGAGGGCAATGAGATCTGCAATCACAGCTACCATCCAATTACATTAAGCTGATTAGGCAGCAGCCAGAATGTCTACCAGAAGAGTCCCTACAGAGTGTCGTGGGCTCTCTCTTTCTCTCTCCCTCTTTCCCTCCCCCTTCAAGATACAAAAGTATACTGCACTCAATCAATGATACTTCAACCCTGCAGCCCACCTGCAGCCCCAGCCTGTGGGTAAACAAGAGCAGTTTTCATTTGGCTTTTCTGGGACTAATGATAAGAGAGGCACAATCTTCAAACTGTAACTGTGAGGACTTCTAACAGGATCCCAGCTCTAGACAGTCCCCTAACAGAAGCAATGGCTTTTTTTCCTTTTTAGCCTAAAGGTTATTTTGGTTGTTTACTGAAAAGAGCAGAGAAGACAGAGGACCAGATTACAAAGTCCCTGGAGGAAAGTACAGATGAAACAGAACTGGGGAGAGAGCAGACAAATGGTGAAAAGCAGAGAATTCTGCCTCCTGCTCAACGAGTACTCCTGCTATCCTATCCTGCTGAGCTGGTTGATGGGTATCTTGAAGAGGCAGTCAGATTACAGGTGGGCAATTATCCAATCCAAAGACTCAAGATGGCCCACCAAACTCATCTAGGCACTTGGACTCAAACATAGTTTTGATTTAAGATACCAGAGGTGAGAAAAACCACACAAGTGAGTTCTTCCTCTGAAAACCATGTACATTTCCTCAGGAAAAGGAGATAGTTTCAGCTACCCAGATTGCCCTTCTCAGTCCTCAGGCTTCCATTGTCAAGGTCAGTACCATATATCCATGCCAGCTGCCAGGCAGACCCATGACTCCGCTCTCCAGGACGTCCACTGCAGTCTTCACTTCCTTTCCTGTTCTCCTTGCCCATGAAGTAGGAAAGATTAGGGAGGTCCAGGTTCAGCCTGAACTTCATGTCTAGCCTCAGAAGGTGTGCGCCAGCCTGCAGATGCTCTGATGGCCCAGAGACAATGTCGTGGTCTTCCCTGTAACTTTGGGGACAGAGCACTCGAACTGATGAACATACCAAACCCTCCTCCACATCCGAGAGGGGGACATGAGAGGACACTATCCATTCCTGAGAACCAGAAGCTCTCTGCTCTTTGGCCATTAGCATGGACAAAATACTCCTCTCTGCATGCAGTAACAGAACATTCACTTCATTCTGAAACCACAAGAGAAGGACCTCAGGAGCAATCCACAACCCGGACAGATAACTTCAGGAAGGTCTTACTGCTTCTGCCAGCCACCAATCTTCTCCAGTAACAGAACTCCGGAGCTAGGCTGTCTGAGTTTGACTCCTGGCTCTATTATACAGCTGTGTGACCTTGGGCAAGCTTTGCCCACAGTTTCTTTACCTGCTGATGAGGATAATTAAAGTACCCCGTTCACTGGGTTACTGTTGAGGATAGAAAGAGTGAATACTTAAAGCTCTTAGAACAGTAAGTTGGGAGCACTAATACTATTATGAACAGAAATAGGGTAGAGCTTTTGCAAGAGTCCACTTGCCATTCTGTGGTCACAAAAAAATAGCCGCTCTTCCGTATGATGCCGATTCCCCAGGCAGGAGGTGAATGCACAGAGATGACACAGTATGAACTAGGCAGCAGGTATTATGGGGATTGCCAACAGAAAATTAGAATCTGCCCTTCCTGCTTGTCCTTTACTAATTCAGAGGCATCGCACTGCTGGAGCAGTCACCTAGGAGACGTGCCCTTGCAGGAGACCTGCATGGGGTGGATGATACAGTGCACCACTGATTAATGAGATCAGTGTCTATCTTCCCAGGACTCTTCAGAGCTTGACCTACGAACCCTGGTCCTTTGAAGCACAGAAAACTACTCTGTTATGTCACTGAGGACTCTGAAACTCTGCTATGAACTTAGGGCTTGAATTGAGGGAGAAGATAGAAGGGATTTTTTTTTTGGTAATTATATTCAAATTTTACATATTGAAAAAATGTATTTTCACTTCAGTGGCTTTTAAACTTCCTGATTAATTTTATCTTTTTGGGTTTTTTTGCTATTTAGTATTATTATTTTTAAAATATGCTTTTTCTTGATATTAGAGAGAGAGGGAGAGAGAAACACCGATGTGAGAAACATTGACCAGTTGCGTAGGCACCCCGACTAGGGATGGAACCTGAAACCTGGGCATGTGCCCTGACCGGGAATTGAACCGGTGACCTTTTGGTGCGCGGGACAGCACTCAACCACCTGAGCCACACCAGTTAGGGTGATGCTTACATTTTTAAAGAAACTGCCACACTGTGTTTCCACAGCAGCTGCACCATTTTGCATCCCCACCAGCAAGGCACAAGTGTTGCAGTTCCTCCACATCCTTCTCAGCACTTGTTTCCATCCTAGCCATCCCAGTGGGTGTGGAGTGGTATCCCATGGTGATTCTGATTTGTATTTCCCTAATTATTTGTGATGCTGAGCATACTTTCATGTACTTATTGGTGACTTATGTATCTTCTTTGGAGAAAAGTCTATTCAAGTCCTTTGCCCGTTCTTCAGTTGGGTTGTTTAGTTGTTGTCGTTGTTGAGTTTTAGAAGTTCTTTCATATACTCTGGATATTAATCCCTTATCAGATCTGATTTGAAAATATTTTCTCCCATTATGTAGGCTGCTTTTTCACTCTGTTGATAGTGACCTTTGATGCACACATGTGTGTTTATCCTCACCTGAGGATATTTTTCCATTGCTTTTCAGAGAGAGTGGAAGGAAGAAAGAGAGACAGAGACAGAGAGACATCGATGTGAGAGAGACACATCGACTGGTTGCCTCCCTTACACGCCATCAGGGCTGGGGACTGAGCCTGCAACCTAAGTATGTATTTGCGGGGAAGGATTGGTTTTCAAATATTTTCTCTCTGTTGCAGGTTGACACTTGTATAAATAAAATTTAATAAAAATGCTGCAGCAATGTGTAAAGGTTGATGCATACTTTCTGTACTTGTCATGGACCAATAACAAACTTTGCAAACGGGCAGCCATCTGCTCTGTTCCCCCGAATCCACATACATTCAACACACGACCAATGCAGGGAAAGGTAGGACACACGCCTACCTTCTGTTCTTGCACCTCAAACACTGCTTCATGGACACTGCAGGCAAAAAGTGAGGTAGGCAGATCACTTAAGTCCATCATCTCTTCCAAATCATCTTCATTTTCACCAAAAATCATCTCTTCTTCCTCTTCTTGGTCACTGGTACAGAGATCAGACTGGCTATCATTCCAAGATTTCATAGTGTCCCTCAGCATGATCCCCTAAAAGCAGGTCGTCTCCGTTTTTAAAGTTCTAAGATGTCTACCAGGCACCTACTGTTAAAAAACACACAAAACAACAGAGATAAGGCGTTGAGGGCCAAACAATGTTCCAATCAATTCTCAAGACAGCAATTCATCAAAGGAAACAATTTTATTCAGGAAAGATAAATCAGCATTTAAATCAACTCATTACAGTCTTCAAAAATGAGTTCTTTACATACTAATTTGATCTGCTTAGCACATTTTGTGCAATATAGTTCATTGGCAATGATATAATACCAAAAAAAAAGGCAAAAAGTTTTCTAGTGAAATTGAGGGGAAAAAAGGTAATACAAAATGAGATAACATCAATATGTACACTAGCTTACCAGGCGTAGGAAAGAACATGTGACTCAGAGCTGCCTTCACATATTTGTTGTGGGTTTTAGGTCTACAACACTGAAACTGCACAGCAGGCTAAAACCCACGGATTCACTCACCATCTGCACCCCGCAATGTGGCCTGCAAGGAGCTGGCGTTACCTTTCTCAACCAATTCGGGGTTTTTTCGGATATACTCTCAAAGAATTAAGTTACACAGAACCAAAAGTTCTATATAAAGTCAGTCTCTGTTAATATTAGAAATATTTACAGTTGCAACATCTGTCACAGACAACAATGAAAACGATGTCCTTTTCTGTACGTCTAAAAATCAATATTTTTAACCCCAAAGCATGGAGCTGACAGTGTTCCTCTGTTAAACAGTAGAAGAAGTCCGTCTTATTTGGACTATTTCTGTGCATGTCCATCTCCTCCAATGAACTGCACCCCCTGCCCACCAAGCAGTGCCTTGAATATAACAACGCACTTGAAGATGCTGAAACAGAATTCAAGCAATATCAGGCACAGAAAGACTGCGGATCACGATTATTACGACCTCAGTATTACTGAGATTATCTTCCCTTCTACTTGAAAGAACACAAAGCTGTAAATGTATTGCTTATATACAATGTTACGGATTGTTCATTACAGGTTAAAAACAGTGGGGGGTTTTATTGTTATTATTCTACTACATCTGGTGGGAAAGTCCAATTCTAAAGAGTAAAATCTTTACCACTTTTATAAACATTTTCCAAACGTCTACTGCATGCAGGGGTTACTAGGGATATCAGGTAAACAAGACATGGTTCCCATCCTCAAGGAGCCACAAAGTAAGACTTTCTTCTCAACAACGCTCGTAAAGGATCTGCTCCATTAACTGCTTCCCTGTACTTTCAATCTCTCCATCTCCATCTGTCCCTTTTCCTCAGCGAATGGACTATTCAAGGTTCCCTGTCCCCACCCAACCTGTTAGAGAGAACCTTCCTCTCAGGTTCTGCCTTCCCCTCAACCTACCCCTCTCTGCCTCTCCCTCTCCTTTCCCACCAACTCCCCAGAGAGAGCAAATAAATGATGCCTTTGCGCTCACTCCCTCACCTCCAGCCACTCCTGACCTGTGTGGCTGGACCTGTCACGACCTTGTGCACAGCAATGGTTTCCCGATTTCAGGCCTCCGCCTGCCTCTGCAGCCCGAGGACTTGCAGACGTCCTCCCTGCCTCTCCTTCCTCCCCGAGGGTCTGCCTGGCTGTCTCTGGCTCCTTCTTCTGCTCACCCTCCACAGCTGGTCCCTTTGAGGTTTCCTCCCCAGGCCCTTCCTCTCCTTCCTCTTCCTGGGTGGCCTGATCCACACCCACCCAAGCAGTTAACTACTTCACCACCAGTGCTTCTCAACTGTGTCTTGCCTTCCTCTGGAGCACACACAGCATGTGTATCAATATTGTCTCCTTTCATACAATGATTTTTTTAAAAAATATACATTTCAGAGAGAGGGAGGGAAGGGGAGACAGACAGGAACATCAATGATGAGAGTGTCATTGATCGGCTGCCTCCTGCACGCCCCCTGCATGCCCCCGACTGGGGCGCAAGCTTGCAACCCCGGCATGTGCCCTGACCGGGAATCGAACCGCGATCTCCTGGATCGTAGGTTGATGCTCAACCGCTAAGCCAAGCCTGGCCGGGCCATACAATGATTCTTAAACCAGAAGGGTGTCACCAAAGTTGAGGGGGAAGGGCAGAATCTTGGGCAATGAAGGGGTAGTGGGTAGTTTGGGAGAAGTACATGACCCCAAGAGACAGATCTGCCCCGCCTAGGTCTTTCCTACCTAAACACACTGAAGACGGCTGCTCTGTATGGTTTATACATCCAGACTCAACCTCCCTCTCCTGACTTCTAGACTTCTATTTTTAGCTTCCCACTGAATATATCTACTTGGGTAGCCCACCGGTACTACAATTGTTTCAAACTTATTCATTAGATTATTGTGCTGGAAATCTCCATTCTGGAAAGGAACCCCATGAGGGGAAAATGGTATCTCATTGTGGCTTTCACTGTCATTTTCCCTTCAAGACTAGGTTGTCAGGTGGCGTTCCAGCTCTCCCAGCACTGTTTATTTCTCTGCTATATGCTTCTCTTATGACTATTTGTTTATGACTCACTCCTAGCTACCAGACCATGAGTCCCTTTGAGTCCCCAGTCCCTGGCACAGTTCCTAGCTCACAGTATATGCTGAATAAGGATTGCTGAATGAAAGCAGATAGCCCTGTGTTTACACCACTAATAGGGCAGCACAGACAGGAAAATTTAATTCTGCATGAGATTAGAGACAGCTTCCCAAAGGGGTTGTGGTGAGACGTGAAAGATGAACAGAATTTCAGCAGGAAAAGAATGGGCGTGCATGCCATGCCATNCAGCTTCCCAAAGGGGTTGTGGTGAGACGTGAAAGATGAACAGAATTTCAGCAGGAAAAGAATGGGCGTGCATGCCAAGCCAAGCCAAGCACATGGGCTGAGGCAGGAAACAGAAAGATCAGCAGGCACCGAGATCACGTGACCTAGCGTGGCCAGAGTGTACATGGTTGGTGGGGGTGGCACCAGACAAAGTTAGAAAGGCAGGCATGGGCCAGGTACCTTGAAAACAAGGTTACAGAGTTCTGACATAAAAGCCAGTCCGTATCAGCATGTGGACCATCTTTAATATCATAGCTCTTAGAGGCACTAATGTTTTGAATCTCCCCCGACCTCTAACCCATTAAAAAGAGGTGAGGAAAACACTTTGCCTGTTTTTTTGGAGGCTGGAGAGTCGGGGAGTTCTGAATGGCTAGATTTTGAAATCTGAGAAAGTTATTTTTGGTGATTTTGTTTCAAATTCCTTCCTAGTCTAACCCCTAAAAAAAAAAAAAAAAATTAGAGAAAAAAATCAAAAAAATCAGAGCACAGGAAACAATCCTTCACCTGATTTAAAAGAAAAAAAATTCTTAGAATGTTACACCTTCACTTCCTGTGTTCTACCTTTGTTCTTGGGTAACTTTTTGGAGGGAACATAATTTCAAACGGAAGAGTTTTAACAATAGTGTAAGGACGTCCTGTATACTCTTTACCCAGACTTACCAATTACTTACATTTTGGTCTGCTTCTGAAATCCTCCTCTATTTTTATAATATACTTTTCCCCTTGAAGCACTGAGCATGAGAAGGGTATTTAACATTGACATAATACTATTATCTAAATCAGCCTATATTCAAATTTTGTCAGTTGTCCCAATAATGTCTTTTACAGCTATTTTCTCTTCAATATTTTTAGATTATTGTTAAATTATTTGCCTTTTGTCCCAAGACAGTTCAATAATACTTATAGTCATTACATTTTCTTCACTTATACATTACTGCATATTTGATACAGTTTAAAAGGATGGATTGATGAAATACCACAGTAACTACAAACAAGTTTGACAGTCTTTACGTATATCCCATCAGACCTGTATCAGGCTCCATAATCAGACCTTTTTCTAGATTTAAACTCTGGCTCCCCCAGTACTCTGCTGGGTAAATTCTTTTGCTTCCCTATTGTTTTCCCCAACTATAAAATGTGGATAATAATAATCACTGGATATTAGAAGAATGAAAGGAAAGAATATATGCTAAGCTCTTAGAATAAGGCTTTGCATATAATTAGTGCTCAATAATAACTTCTATATAGGCACAATCTATGTCAGTGCATTGTTGGGCTGAAAGGACTCCAATAATATTGGAACCATTGGTGGAACTAACATAAAAACAATACAACGAGAAAAATACATACCCAAAGGATATAATCCCAAGCAACAAAATGGCTACAAAGTTAAAACACTTTGTATCATTTTAAGAAAACCATTCAAGCACAGACCTGTCAATAAAACCAGCTCTGGAGTAACCACTGGCAGTAGTAATACAGCTCCAGTATGAAAATGTTTAAAGATTTAAAATCAGAGAACTGGCTGAGAAAGGCCTCACAAATTTTTTTGTTGTAATTCAGTACACACAGCATAGAGACATTATCATTCAGATGATGGTTCCCTTGTTAAAGGCAAGCCATGAGATTTTTTTAGATAAAGCTTCAACATTGTCAGCCATTTCATAAATTTTGACATTATAAATGCAGTTTGATTTTAATAGAGAGATACGATCAAAGTCAGCCAGTGGACATGACAATCCTAGCACATGTGTAAAAAAACAATCATCTTATAAGGAAACTCAGCTGGCACTTTAAAAGCAGCTTGGTTTTATTAAGGCAAAAAAAAAAAATTACAAAAGTATACTGTTTCTATGCTGTTATTGCTAACTCTGCCCTAACTCCAACTATGACACGACTAAGCTGTCCCTCAGTTTACCACCCGAGGAGAATACTGACTAATTCAACAGGAAGAGCTGCACCAATATCCTCCAGCTTCTGCAAAGTTTAGCATCATCTCCAGTGCACTGTAGCTGAGGCTGGCTTCCAGCAAATTGTTTCTTCATGGAAACATCAAATGAGTGGAAAACTCCAAGTAGCATGACCATCTGCTCTGCTACAACAAGCCTTGTGACAAAAGTAATCCATCAGCCAAAATGTCAAGCACATGGATCTGACTTCGCATTTTAAATTCTGACAGAAAATGTAAATTCCTCCTCCAGGATTAAAAAAAAATAATAATTTTTGAAAATAATATATGCTTCTCAACTTGTGAACATTTAAACTACCTCAGGCTAGATGCACTTATTATTCTTTGATGTGTTCAAGATGTTACTGAACAATACTGGGAGCAAATAAGTACCCCATTTCCAGCTCTGCAGTGCCCTCCTGAAGAACCTTGGAAAAGCCACTTGGCCTGCTGTTTGTGCTCTCATATATAACATAAGGAAAATATTCACGGACGCTGTTGAACTACTAAATTCCTTTTTAAAACTTCTAAATTATAAATTTAGACTAAATTTCTTAAAAAAAAAATATCCTCAGGATTGTCAATGTGGGGGTTCTGAATAGCTATCATATAGACCTCTACCTTCTATATCCTCCTCATTCACCATTTATAGGGAGAATCTTACTATATTTTTATAGGTGTAGTAAAAATAAAATTGGTAGTGTAACTGTAAAGTAAAACAGGTGAAAATTCGATTTTTTTAATATTTCAATGACCTATGCCCTCTTTTCACAGATAATCCAGAATTGGTCCTGCTATAATCATTGAGGTTGAGTGCCCCTACCAGGAATGGTGGTATTTGTTAGCGCATGAGAGGGGACAGAAACAACACAAATCAACTGCCAGAACATATTAAAATAATAGACTTTAAAGAATAATTGAAGTAGAGAAATAAAAGACTGATGCTATTTGTTCTGCTGTATGTAACTCATTTTCCCCTCACTATAACTTCTACATTCTAAGAGAAAAATGGAGATCCACTGTCTGAACTTCACCTTCTGTGGGTTTTTCTGGGTATAAATAACAAATGATATTGAACTTCAGGGCTTCCATTATTTCACAGGCTTCAGCTTAATGGATTTCCAAATCGCACTATTTTTCATGGTGTTTGCTTTAAGTCTTTCAACCAACAAATCCTCTAGCACCATGCAAAATTTGTTCTCATGTGTAACCCTTAACATCCACACGTTTAAAAGCTTTACAAACATTACAATTCAATAGTGGGGAAAAATCTTGTTTTCCCTAAAAGCATTGAAATCTTTTTCCAAGCTAAGAAAGAAAAGGTCTGCCACCCCAGTAAAATATGAAACTGATGGCATGGCTGAAAAATGGGCTGTTAGTTTTCAGGCCTTTCATTGTCTTCCTGCATCAGAAGTGCATGTCTAGCATATCGTTATAAAATCCCCACCAAAAGGGACAAACTTGCCTGGTGCACGAACATCTATATCCTCAGTCTCAAAATTGTGCTTTTAAAATTTACTCTGTAGAACCAGGCCTGATGAAGTGATCTTTAAAATAAATTATTTAAAATCATATGTAATCACAGCTACAAATAATCCCTGAAGGAGATGATCAGATTTTGCACTGAAGCTGGAACGAAGCTACCTGGAAACAGAGCACAGTTGCTCTACTGGTCCAGGCAGCAGATGCAAGCAGACAGACAAGTTTCAAGAAGTTGGCGAGTAAGAAATACGATGGTTATCCGTGCGCACGAGAGAAACAGGGGCTTCCAACTTCTGGCCTCCTGTTTCACCAACGGCACCTTTCCTGCCTTCGGGAGCAGGAAGGGCCTGTCAGCTCTGCAAAAAGTCAAACAGTCGTCTGGGAGACAATTGTTGGTGGGGAGGACAGCTTCCTTGGTTTTGTTTTCCAAGACACCCCCGGAGGGCTGCCAGGAGACGCCGGACCCTGGAGGCAGGGCCGCCGCCGTAGCTCTAGGGTCTGGGGCGCGACAGTGCCCACCCCTCCCGGGCACTCGGGGGCCATTTCTTCCCTCTGTCTCTTTCAGGTTCTCGTTTTGTTTTGGTTTAATTTCCCGCACCCCGTGCTCAGCGCCTGCCCCAGTGCTGGTTGCATACCTGCCTAGGCGGTGGCTGGGGCCCGCCACACCCTGCAAAGGG